GATTTTGGTTTTGTATATATAATAATAAAATAAATATATGACTTATTTTAAATAAATAACTTACTGTTAATAAACCTCAGGAAGCTGGTGGAGCGCGCAATACCGGACATCGGGCTCCGTTGCTGGGCGTGCTAGGGCCTGGCGCTAGTTCAGCTTCGGTACAAGTCCAGAACTTGCTACAACTATTTTCCATACCACAGGTAGAAAAGAGTAAACATCCGCCTTAATATACGATATGTATAATATTTTAAACTATTATGTTGCATTTTTACTATAAAATTATCACTTCACAGGATTTATTACAACAATATCTTTTTAACGGTAAATAAGATATTTACCCTCCCGACGTTTCGGCTCGGTTGCACGAGGTTGCACGAGTCATGGTCGCGGGCAGACTAAAGAGATGCGGCGTCGTCTGCTCCGGCGCGATGAGTTTTCTTCACCCACCCGCATTTGCACAATATTTTCGTCAGTGGTACAGTCAGTCCGACAAACTACACTAACAGTGTCCGGGTTTCTCTGAGACGGCCTAGAACGCGATTCGTATTTCGTTATCACCGGATTCCACGCTGATGATAGGTTAAATCCATCTTCTCGATTGAAATTCTTATGCTTTTTAATTTCAATGGCTTCACGTATCAACCTAACATGGTAATGCCTATCAGTTGAGAGGATTTTTGGGTCATGAAGTTCCATCCAGTGATTAACGTCCGAAGTTAACAGATGTTCAGCTATCGCAGATTTGCACGTCTGTCGTCATAATCTTATTTACCGTTAAAAAGATTGTTGCAATAAATCCCGTGAAGTGATAATTTTAATATACATATGTATCTGCGGCTAAACTAGTTAATTAAAAATTTTCTACCCTATAACTACCCAGAGTGTCACCACAAGACCACAATAGATTTTACCGTGAACTTCTTAAAAGGTTAATTTAGGTTCATACTGAACTCTGCATCGTACCAGGTGTCGTACTCGGCGACGTCGCGCGAGCTGTCGGACCGCGCGCGCTTCTCCACGTTCTTCCGCGTGGTGCCGTCTGACCTGCATCAGGCTCGCACCATGGTGGCGTTGTTGCGCGCGCACAACTGGACCTACGTGCATGCAGTACACACTGATGGTTCGTAAGAAATGACAACAAAACTCAGTAATCGAATGGTTATCTTGCTCGATAACTCAGCAGAGCCCATAAATGTGACAGAGAGCTACGGGCAAAGCGGAATGGCAGCATTCCGTGAAGAGGCCGCACGTGGTGGAGTGTGTGTGGCGCGCGAGGAAGCACTGCGGGCAGCGCCGGGCGCCGTGGAGGTGGACCGCACGCTGCGGCGGCTGGCCAGCGGGCCGCAGGTGGTGGTGTGCTGGTGCGAGGGCCGCACGGCGCGCGCGCTGCTGGCGGGGCTGGCGCGCGCGGGCGGCCCGGCGCTGCGGCTGGTGGCCAGCGACGGCTGGGCCGACCGGCGCGACGTGGTGGCGGGCCTCGAGCGAGCGGCCAACGACGCGCTCACCCTGCGCATTCGCTCGCCGTACCTGCGCGACTTTGATTCCTACTACCATTCTCTAAAACCGCATACTAATTTTAGAAACCCATGGTTCACGGTAATAAATAAACCTTTAAAAAATGTCTTATTCAAAATATCACATAAGATTCCTATTAATTTTTCTGTTCGTTTAGGAATTTTGGGAACAAAAGTTCAACTGTTCCATGTCTGACAAATCTGAAGTCGGAATGCGTCGATGTACAGGTAGATTACTCCGATATACCTATACATATGTATTTACATACACTCATAAAACTAACTTAAGAACAACGTTTCTGTCAGGGCTTGAATCCCTCGGAACAGACTACACACAAGAGCCAAAACTGGCATTGGTAGTGAGAGGCGTGTACGCGCTGGCGCACGCTCTGCACGACATGCGCGCGGCGGCGTGCGGCGCGCGCGGCGCGGGGCTGTGCGCGGCGCTGCGGCCCTTCAACGTGTCCCTGTACCGCCGGCACCTGGCGCGCGTCCGCTTCCACGCGCCCGACGGCGGCTTAGTCGCTTTCGATGACAACGGAGACCCCTTACCGGAGTAAGTTTCGGAGGAAGAGTAGGGCTTGTGTATTAACTGCAGACTTAATAATAAAGCGTGTCTTGTTGGCAGATTGAGCGAATACGATGTGATGAACTTGGTGAGTGACGGTAGCGGAGGCTGGCGGTACGAGCGCGTGGGGCGGTGGCGGCGCGGAGCCTTGCAGCTGCGAGGAGGAGACGCTGCCGCCGCCAGGTGCTGGACTCACTGAGTTTTCCAAAAAGTAAAAAAAAAAATGGTCTTCGTACTATGACTTTCAGGTCTACCACTCTAAATTCAAAAGTGAACTTGCACAGATCATACGGTAGTGTTAGACAGTTGCACTCTGGCCAGGCGTGCGTCGGGCGTGCAGGCGGCGTGCTCGGCGCCGTGCGGCGCGGGCCAGTGGGCGCGCGCGGGCGAGGGCCGGGCGCGCTGCTGCTGGGCCTGCGTGCCGTGCCCGCCGCTCGCCGTCACCGGCCCGCCGCCGGCCACCGGCTGCCTGCTCTGTCCGCCCGGACATCGTCCTGACGTCCATCGCACTAGTAAGATATTATGAAATAATAATTAATATGCATTTTAAACGAAAAGATGAAATGTGATCAAGAGTTTCGTATTTTCAATTGAAATATTCATAAATGACACACAAACAATCATTCATAACAGTTTTTAGGTCACGCTTTATGCGATGCGGGTGATATAAGTGCACTTGGTCAATAAATAAAGTCGCATTAATTTTAAGGTGAACAAAGGCGACTGCTTTAGGCGACTGCTTTAGGCGACTGGGTGATATCACCTAAGTGAAATGGGTCCGAGGTGAAACGAGGACACTAAAAATCTACTTTGTTCACCCAGGTGAACAAAGTGGAATAAACCACACCGATTACGCCGAGATTTCTGATCCGATTTACCTACGTGATTCTTTCTTTGTTCGATGCGAATTGGTTGCCATTTGGTCCCATAAACATTTAATTTAAGTAATTTGGTTGGGCAGTTTTTTTTTACTTTATGAGCAATTTTGTTAAGTTTTTTAGCAATAACTTTGGCAATATTGGAGATTCTTGATAAAACTTGTACTCGTATATCAAACTTAAGGTAGAGGATAATATCACGCATGTCATTTATTAAAACATTCTAAAACTAATTGCCACTTGGAAAAAATTGCAAAGCTCGAGATGGCGGGGAAAAGAAAAGGGAAATAGCCTGGCCCTATAAATAGGTTTCTCCAGTTGGCTAGTGTAGTTCAGTTCAGGTTACTTCAGTTTAATTCAGATTCAGTACATGCACTAAAAAGTAAATAATAAAATAAACTGCGTTTTAAAAAACCACCTTAAAATTAATCTGACTCCGAAAAAGTACACTAAAAGTAGAAAAATAATTACGTTACTTATTTATTTTAAGGACAATATTACGATTATGATTGATATTTTTGCAGTCGTGCTCCGGTACCGAACTTACTACCGGGTTTACTTGAGCATTGTAGACTAGCACCGACTCCGAGAATAATAATCATGGTCATACAAATTGTCCTAATTAAATAAAGTAATTATTTTTCTACTTAAAAAAATTTAGGCTAATTTTTTACCTGTAAAAAACGAAATTCTTATTAGTTATTTCAACTTGAACGTAGGTTGCCTACCATCTCCCGTGGAGTGGGGAGGGTCGGAGCAGTGGGCGCGGTCGGTGGCGCTGGGCGCGGGCGGCGCGGGGCTGGCGGCGGTGCTGGCGTGCGCGGCGACGTTCTGGCGGCACCGCGCCACGCCGGTCGTCAAGTCGGCGTCGCGCGAGCTGTGCGCGCTGCTGCTGCTCTCGGCCGCCGCGTGCCACGCCGCGGCGCTGGCGTCGGCGCTCCGGCCTGCGGTCATACCTTGCATTGCGGTGTGTTCTCGTAAACTTACTGTGACTTTTGAATAGATATAACATTCTAATTGCATTTCTAAGTACCTATATTATCAATTTCCAGTACTTATTAAATTTTTGTGGATTCTTTGTATGTAGTTCTTTCGTATTAGGTCTGTTATATGTATTGGCTTCCTTTATTGCTAATAACTAATAATTGAAGGTGCGCCTGGCGGCACCATCTTTGGCCGGCGTGTATGCAGCAGTGCTGGCGAGGACGGTGCGGGTGGCTCGCCTGGTCGCTGCTGCAGAGCGGCGACCGGCTGCCCGACCTAGACTGTTATCGTCACGAGCACAGGTAAGCTTTCATTACAAGAATGGATTAAATAAAATACACACACTTTTGACATGTCTATCTAAACACATACTCAGAAGATCACGCACTTTGTGTCACCCAACATGAAATTGAAAGAAGTTGAAAATCCCACTGTGCCTGCCACTAGGGCAAAAAGATTATGAGATATGTGAAGGCTCCGCAAAACTTTTGCATAAGTATTTTTTTACGATATTTTTCATATTCCATACAAATAAAGAAATTTTGAGTTTGACTAATGTACTCGTAAGGTGTGGACTTGGGTGTGCCTGACGGCGCCGGGCGCGGCGGCGGCGGCGTGGAGCGCGGCGGCGTGGGCGCCGGCGCCGCGCCTGCTGCACCCGGGCCGCGCGCGCTCCGTGCTGGCGTGCGGCGGCGAGCGCGCGCCCGCGCAGCTGCTGCCGCTGGCGCCCGCGCTGGCGCTGCTCGCCTCCTGCGTCGTGCTGGCCGTGCGCACGCGCCGTCTGCCGCACAACTTTAACGAGACCAAGTATGCGTCGGTAAAAACTCTTAACGCTGTAAACCCGTCGCCTTTTCCGGTCGAAAGGAAGATAAATTCCTTAAATTTAAGTAAAAAATTAAGCCTGTATTCGGAACGACTTGGGCACCGAACTAAATGAATGATAATTATTAAATTTTATTATTTAATTATATTGTTTGATTTCTGTTTCTTCTAGCACACTTCTAGTGTATAAGTCGTACCCTAACCTTGCAAAAAGAAATGCTGTGTATGCCTACAGTTGAGGTCAAATCCTGTGCGTCACATATAAATAAATAAATATAAACATGATCACCCCACCCGGTCAGGTTCGTGGGCGCGGCGGCGTACGCGACGTGCGTGACGTGGGTGGCGTTCTTCCCGCTGTACGCGGCGACGGCGGCGCGCACGGCGGCGCTGTGCGCGTGCGTGTCGCTGTCGGCGGGCGCGTGCGTGCTGCTGGCGCTGGGCCCGCGCGTGTGGGTGTGCCTGTGCCGGCCGCGGCGCAACACGCGCGCGCACTTCCTCACGGCCACCTCCATCCGCTGCCACCTGGGCAAGTACCGCCCCGGCGCGGAGCCGCCATCCGCTGCAGACTCGCCTCGGGTGGTCGTTGGTATTTATTAGTTAACATCTTTAACCTATAATAATCTCCTTCAACATACTTCTTTATTATTATAAAACACTTAAATCTAGTCCTGAAAAGTGAGCAATTTATCAATTTGCTGTATTATAAGATTTTTAAAAACTGAAATCATTATGAACTGCAAGTCTGCAGATGACTTCATAATACGTTTCACCATACAAAATCTATGGGAGTTGCGTTTGGCTAGCTCAAAAAAGTATGTTACTTAATCAACTCAGCCACTTTTTATAAACTTTTATCTAAACGTCGTCGCAGCACATCGTGATACCAGCTGCCAAACCGAGGCCCGAGGCGCGGGCGAGGGTGCGGGCGCGGGAGCGAGCGCGGGGCCGGGCGGCTGGTGCGCGGCGGCCGGCGCGTGCGCCCGCGTGACGCGCGCGCCCCTCGACGACGGCGACGACGGCGGCGGCGACGCCGACGTGCTCATCGTGCTGCTGCATCATCACCATGCCGTGCCTCCAGCGATCTCGGACCACAGCCTACCGTAGAGGACTTCACTCGAAAACATATTAAAAAGAATAGGATTTTAAAAATGTAACTAGTGCATTTCGTGCAAAATCGACGCGGAGATGAATAGTGATAAATTATTTTAGTCAATACTAAAATGTACCTTAAGTAGTCTGAAAACCTAAATATTAAGTGCACAATAAATTTAAATTATCTCTATAAGTATTAGTCTCATGGTCAAACGTTTGAAAACCCCACTCTAATCCTTTGCGTTTGATGTCGTATTCGTGACGTAACAGACGCAGACGCTGAAAAAATGTACCCATTTCGTGCCGGCACGGTGACGCGGCGGTTCCAGAATAGCCGCGAGCGAGGGTCGCTCCAGTGCGCGGCGCGATGTCTCCGCGTGCGCTAGCGCTGCTTCTGATGTGCGCGCACGTGTGCGCACAAGATTTACGGATAGGTTGGTATTTTTCTGAAATCAAATTACAGTTTAAATCGAAAATAAGAAAGGTCAATGAAGAATTTGATATTTGAAAAGTATCTAATCTATCTTATCTATAAAGCAAAATTATGGGAAGTGATCTGTGTTGTGTGTTTATAAAATTCTATTTTCGGAACTAAGTCAATATTATGATAAAACATAAATACCTATTATCGGAAAATTCGATAGGTATCTATCTAAATAAAAACTACATTATGTAATGCGAATGCACAAAACTACCTATGCAACATGCATACACCAATCACCATCGCTGAAACCCCTGTCTGTGACACAGATTTCAAAATAATAGAAATAAATTGGAAAATTTAATTGAAGTACGAAAGGTGGCATATCAGCGGACGACGGCCTGATCGTGTGTTTGGCGGCAGGCGTGGTGGAGCAGGAGCCGGTGGCGGCGCAGCGGCTGGCGGCGGCGGTGGAGGCGGCGCTGCAGGAGGGCGCGGCGCTGGTGGCGCCCGTGGAGCCCGACGAGCCGCTGGCCGTGCCGGCGCACGTGTGCGCGCAGGTCCGCTCTCCACCTCCCAGGCTTCAGATTCTTCGATTTGCAATAAGATATCGAGTGTGTTGTCCCTTCGCAGGCCGGGGAGGAGGTGGCGGGCGTGGTGAGCGGCGGCTCGGCGCGCGCGGCGGCGCTGGGCGCGGCGGCGGCGGCGCGCGCGGGCCTGCCGCTGCTGCTGGTGGCGCCCGCGCCGGCCGACGCGTCCTGGGAGGCGCTCGCTATGTACCCGCACCCCGACGTTCTCGCTATGGTCACTCATGCACTCTGTTTTTGTAATAAATCTCAGTTCTTGAAAGCATCTCGTTCATCTCACGCACTTTGATACGATTCTAGTCGGAGTACTTACTCTATGATAGATCTAGAATAAATTAAGATACTCGGAGGATAAAGCTTGATAGGCCCCAGAAATACATACCTACATCCAATTTCCGTTTCCGGCGAAATTGATATGCATCGGGCGGGCGTGATGCGTGACTTATGATTCGTAGGTCTTCAATGTCACCGCAACAATTGACAGGCATGCGCGGACTTGTGCGAGGCCAAAGGCTGGAGCAGCGCGGTGCTGCTGCACGAGGGCAGCGCCGCGGGCGCGGCCGGCGTGGCGCCCGACGCCGCGCGCCTCACGCTGCTGCCGCGCCAGCTGCCGCCGCCGCACGAGGAGGCGTTGCTCAGGTACATTCAGTTTATTGTCGGGCGCGACCGGCGCAACTCTTTTAGCCTATCCGAAAGCAAAAGTAGCAGCGCTATGCTTTCAGTTTATGAATAGTTATCCATCCTATTATTATTTTATTATATATGTATGTGTCTATGTATGTATTCATATGTTATTTATGTAATTATATTTTTTTTTATTCTTATGTAGCGANTTCTTATACTGCGTGCGGTCGTTGCGCGTGCGCACAAAGGAATGAGACCGCTCGGACACCGAGCCCACAGCGTGGTAGGGGTGGGGTTGCCCGCTCTTTTGTTTTTTAATACTACTACGCTGAATATTGTGTGCGGATTGGGTTGTCGTACAGGGGTACTACATGGTAAAATAAATCTCGGAGGCGAAAGCAGGATAATTGGTTTCATCATCTATAAATAATTATATTATCGTATAACGGGATATGGCAAGGCAGAAAAAGAAGAAGAATATCATATTATTTTCAGCAACAGGACGTCCACTGTTGAACATAGGCCTCCCCCAATGATTTCCATATCGCCCGGTTGGTAGCGGCCTGCATCCAGCGCCTTCCTGCTACCGTTATGAGATAGTCGACCTTTAGTTTCATTGAAACTTCTTTTCAAAGAGCATTTTATTTTTAACCAATATTTTGGGGAGTTTAAATGTCACAATATGAAGTGAACGAATGAACATACTCGTAGATTGTTAAAAATGCTTGCCGAATGAAAATCCCAATCCGAGTTGTTAACTAGATTACCGCCTACTGCGATGTGATGTGAGTGACACTTCGCAATTGTATGGCGCTTTGCCCCGAGGCGAAGAAGTCCCATCGGCTATTTCGCCCCTACCGTTGAATTAATATTAAAGTCTTTCTCTCACTCTATTATTAGCCTATAACCCCCAATCACCCGGCCTAGGGCGTCCATATGTCAGTGACGTCACTTTGCGCGCCATTGCGCGTACGCCCCAAGCGTTAGGGCAATATTGCTAATTGGCGATTGTTCGCACTTTTGTGGGGGTAGTTTTTGGAGATTTCAGTGGATATAGAACTGTAAATGTTCCGTATTTTTTATGGAATGAAAAAAAAAAACTAAGATACGTGAGCAAAATCTACCTAAATGCAGATAAAAAAATAACTTGTTGTAAATAAATAAATAAAAAAGTACTTGAAGATGCTCCCTCACGGGAAGCATTCACGTGTATCTAATGTAGCATTACACAATCGTAGAAATACCTCGAATAATGGTCGGTTTTCCTCCTTCACTGATATATAATTCTGGAATCTGTAACGTTACATTGCACATGAATGCTCCCGGTGAGAGAGCACCTTTAAACAATTATTATCAATAAACAAATAAAAATGAAAAAGTTATTTCGCCTTACACAACTTCATAACTGTTAATAGATACGCAAATCAAATTACATTGTAATCGCCAACTTTCGAGCGCGATAAAATCCGTTGACCAAAATTGGATGACGTGACCGCGTCAGAACCGTTCGTGATCGTATCATGACGTAAACAGAGTGCATGATAAAAATTACGTAATACGTCACCCTTGACGCATTGTGGGCGGCGGGACCAACCTGATTAATGACGGCACGGATAAAAACCACGGGGGCGAAGCACTGGGACCCCGAAAATTCGCCCTTGTATTTATTGCTTATCCATTTTATTACGATCAACCTTTTTCTTGTTTACGGCGTAGAGCGAGTGGCGGCCAGAATTGGCGCGCGGATTTGAAATTGGAACGAGTTTTAAAAAGAAATTCGCGCGAATGGCCGCGCGAGTGACGTTCGAATTTCAAAATGGTACTCGATCGGCGGTTTACGGAGTTGGCTTCACGCCTCATCTGACGTTATGGGTCTACGTGATCGAACTCCGACATTAGATTAGGGAGTGCGTTTAAACGGCGATATTGATATTCATAGTTTATGCAGTAGTGGATAGAGGACGTGTGGAGCGAATTGGGTTCGAAACGTGCGAGCAAATCGGTTTTAAAAGCACTTTACTCTATCACGTTCTTACTTCTATACCACAGAGAATTCCCAAGATATAAAAATAAATCTGAACTTATTTTTACCGGCGATAACTATTCTAAGCTCTATGCCTTATAAAATTCTTATTAAAGATATCGACAAAAGGCGTAAGGGTCAGTCCCTAATGACGAAGGGTGCCAAGTGCACATACTCTGTCCCCTACATAAATAGCTACATAATATCAACTATTTGATTAGGCATTAGGGAGCGACCCTCTTTCATTAGATCTTTAAATGCGTTTTCTAAATGAGATTTCGGTGTTTTGTATGAAATATGTTACTTTTATTGGCAGCAGGAATTCAATTTTGTATATTGTTGGGGATTTTGATTAAACGCTATCTAGAAAATTACTGTTTATTGCCAATTTAATAAAGTGAGCTCCCGTTAATGTTAACCCCAGGACATAAGTATTACATTTTGTTAATAATAATTTTTAATTGTAATTTATTGACGATACAGACGAAAATTCTATGAAAGAAGCTGTCAAATAATGTCTGATCTAGTTCCCTTACTTGGTCACGCTTTATTTTCAATTTTCGTTCTTAATTAAAATTCATTGACAACTTTAAACCCTATTCTGTCACGCCCGATTTAACTAACCCTGTAAATGCTTTTTGGTTTTAACTTCAAACCCGATAACCGTATCCGGACACGAGTACGAGTGCCAATTACTCGTGCCATTAGGCGTCCGGGTATTTATTAATTTGTGAACTTTAAACTGATTCTGTTAAGGTGCATAATGAGTAATCACCAAAACACAAGAGGAACGAGAAATGGAAAATTGGAAACGATAAAACCACAAAAATAAAGATGTTCACTTATTCATTCGCCAAACGAACTAAAATATACTTTTGTAACTTTATAAATTATACTTTTTCCACATATTACTATTTTTTTTACAAGAGAATAACTTCCCTATCCTATCTCGTGTGCTTAGAAAGCAGACAACTCTTAGATACTGAATTTTTTGCATACATACGTACTTGTTTGTTTTACAAAATTACTGTAACATAAGCCAACTCCTACGTACGAGAGAAAAAGTAGGATATACTTATCTTCTTAACCTTAAAAAATCGTATTTAAAAATAGGGTTATACAGTCTGCGAAGTCCGCATACAGCCGGATAAATTACTAAACCGTCCGAGCCGGACAGACACGCGTCCGGGGATCCCGATCGCGCAAAATGAAAATAGCGGCCGTCATTTGCGACTAATTTGCGACCGTAACCGGACACTGCTGGCGTTAATGATAGTCCCGGAGAGGTGGCGTTAGTTAAATTGAGAGGGAAAACAAAAAATCTCGCAGAAAACATACGTATGGAAGAGATTTTCATTAACTTTTAACCAAGCAGTGTTTGAATTGACCCCATAATAATATTAATGTTATCTTTGAAGAAACAGTTAAAAACCAATGGATTTTTTGTTAGCCTGGTTACAGGTTAGTAAGAGATGTGCATGTCACCAAAAATTAATTTCAGACTTCGACATACATGTGTAAGTAAAACAGGAAAGTTCTATTGTACCTCTATCCATCAAAGCACTGAACTTTATTCAATGCTCTTTTGAACAGAGATTACGGTACAAAAGGCGAATTAAAGCCTCACTATTTCATTCATCATGTCAGATCATGATAGATTTTACATCCCTCACATATAATGAAACCCATCGGATTA